GACTCAAACTTAACTAGTTTTTACTTATTCAATGAAAAAGTTAGTTTAGGAGTATGATATCTCATAATATGAGATTTGAAAAAAACTGTTATCTATAAGTGAGTGTAGTGGCCTTGACGGGGCAACTTCTCACAATTGGAAGACTTGGGTAGTCTAAGCATATGGATGGACCTTGTTGAGTTAAATAGCTCACGATTTTAAGTTTGAGATATCAAGAGAGTACAAAGATAGGACTGGTCATGCATATCATTTCATGGCCACATGGTTGTTATTATTATAGCCTTGCATATCATTATTAAGGGCACATGATTGTTAATATTATGACCCTTACATAATATATTGTTAAAGTCAAGAATTATTAATATCGTGGTAGGATGATTTGAGTTATTGCAAACATGTGAAAATATGATACTTGTATATAAAGCCAATAATTTGGGTAGATCGAGCTTATTCGAATCGAACTTAAAGTACCCTATCCTCTTAAAAAAGCTCATATGGGTAAGTTTGGTTCTAACTTTTTTGATCAAGTTCAGGCTGGCCCATCAGCTTGGCCAAAATTGCCAACTCTATATACATATAGAGCTGAAAATTTTAGCGGTCGAGTTTATTTGAATTTGACTTAAAGTATCACACCTTCTTGAAAAATATATATAACCAAGTTTGGCCCTAACTTTTTTCAGGAGGATTCGGGTTAGCCCGTCGGGCTTGACTCGAATTACCAGCTCTAATTATATATGCCATTTGCATTACCAAGAGTAATTGAAATGCATTTGTATTAGCTAGATTAACTTTGATTACTAAGTGGTTGCACTCACCTTTCTTTTCTCAATATTTTTAGGAGTTAGATCGACTCAGGACAAAAGGAAATCAATGGAAGCCTATGAATTTGGTTTCCTAACTGTAGGCCTATATTTTTTTTATTATGTGTATTTAAAAATTAATATTGTCAACTAAGAGTATATATATTTTTTAATTTACTTGCACTAATTGTCAATGATGTTGAACAATTGTATTTTGGGCTCTAAGTTATAAGTGTTTTGTATGTATGCACTTGAAAATGATGAAAAAATTAGTGCAAGTAAAGAAATGTGTAAATGCATGACCATGATAAATTATGGGATCATTAATGTGAAATTGTCTCCTTTTTTTTTTAGATTAAGGGGGTTAAGAGTTAAAAATATAATGTATGAGTAATTTATATGTTGTGGTGTATTGCACAGGTCATAATGAGTCTATTGAGTATGGTTTAAGAGTGATTGTAAGCTTTTGGCACTTTGTAGTGAAATGAGACATCTTAGTTATGAATTAATTGTTAAAAGCAGTGAATTTGAAAACAGGTGTCCAACTTTTAATTGAGAAGTAATTTGAGAGTGAAATTAGTGCCATTAACTAAAGTTTTAGAAGAGCTTTTCATAAATATCTAGATCACTTCAATTGGATTTCGGACGAAGAAATTAGGCATGACAAAAGTTCACCCATGTTGCTGTCAAATTGATAGCGATAAGGTTGTTGTTTTATGTAATGTGCTATGACACATGGTGCTTGCATCGCTGCACATAGTATGGAGAGGAGATGTTGTAATACATGGGTGATATGATGCAATGCATCCTCTTGATTGTGAGCTGCAATGCCATTTTCAATTGCAATGCGAATGTTTTGAACATATATTAGTATCTCATGTTTCTGTACTTGTTTCTACTTTGACTTTGATTCATGAAAATTATAATTTAGTGGTTTTAAACTTATAAAACTTAAGATCTCATCTCTACCACTTTTAATATTTTTGAAAATTACAATGATTTTTTAATGAGGTAATCCGTTTGGGTTAATCCTATAATTACTAATAAGGTAATTTGTTTGGGTTAATCCTATTATTACCAATAAGGTTGCCCTTACTAAGTGTTGGCTTAGTAAGGGAAACCTTACATAAAAAAGTTTCTCCAAATATTTTGATTATTATCCCAGTATAGCTGCGAAACTCATGGGTACCCTTAAAGCTTAAAGATCTCAACATCTACTAGGATGACAAGTTTGTCCAAATGAATGTTTACTCTTACTCCCTAAGAGCTCGCACACTCATTTGGCACAAGTTTTCTAACAATCATTCACTTGCCTAAGTCTTAAAGAAAATTATAGAACTTGTCATGAGGGACTAGATGATCACTCTAGATCATATGTATAGAGAAGTAAACAATTGTGTTGACTAGTTGGTGTACCAAACTTCTAACATCAATTTAGATATTAAGATTTTTGATGTTTCATCACTTGGATGTGAAAACCTTCCTACATATATTTTTCCATGGCCCTCTGTTTTGAAGATCTATTACATATTTTGTGATTGTTCTCTCACTCAAAAGTGATATTGGCTGTTGATTTTTATTTATGAGTTAACTTATGACTTCTACAACCTCCCTTTGGAGCAATGGTTATCCTCCAATTTAAATCCTAGTTGTAAAAACCATCTTGTGATTATTCTTTTTAGTTTATTGTACTAGAAATTATAGAAAGCAACGAACAAGAGGCTTTTTGCTAATACATTCTTCACAAAGGGTTAAAGACTTGTGAAGGAAGTCTATTGAAGCTTTTTATGTTTTTTTCTTTCTTGTGCAGTTTTTGATCTATTTAAAGGCTGGTATTGTTTTGTAAACTAGTGGCTGCTTCTATACAATTTTTTTTAGGTTAACGTGCAAATTTACTCTCGAAGTATCATGTGAGAGGCATCAGGTATTCTAAACTAACAAAAAGGGCAATGTCACCTCATTTTAATAGACACCAACAGTTGATCTAACTCTATTTGTGTGAAATCCACTTCACCTTTTTCATTAAAACTATGCTTAGGTGTTATATTTTTCATTTGATAAAAGCTTGTGGCACTCTTTTTTCCCCTTTTAAAACAAAAATTAATAACATTAAAAAAATTATTTCCTCTAATCAAAACCTGCTAATCTAATCAAACCATCTTCTCTTTCTTTAAGTCTGGAACAATCTCCATTATCATCAAATCCTACATCCATCACACCCTTTACCATATCTCATACACAATGAAGATGGAAGGTCAAGTGAAGGATGAACAAAGACAAATCTCTAGCAACTTGGTGCTCATCGCTGCCATAACCCATAACCTTTACCCTACCCTTTCCCACCTTCTCATCTTCAACCCCCTACACCGAGATTTGAACGTTAGCCCCACACTCTTAATCCTTGTTGGTGGTGTGCCTTGGGTGCGACTCACGACTCAATCTATGTAGCCAATAGATTTGGTGTAGAAGATTTAAACCGGTTTGAAGGGTGGAATACTCTTCATCAACGTTTCTCAATCACTCAAGAAATGAGATTTAAATAAGAAATTAGTGAGGTTTGGGGAGAAAATGGGCTTGAAGGATAGGAGATTTAGTAGAGATGCAATCAATGCGGTGGGGTGGAAGGGGAAGAAGAATTTCATAGAAGCTATTTTTGTTGATTTTCTAAATTCATATATAATATTTTTTGTTAAATATGTTTGTTTTCATCTTAGTTGCAATCCTTATCTAATTGAAATTATTTGAATTTGTTCTCTATTAGGAAAGTCATGGGGGTGGATGAAAATCCCTTCTTGGTTTAGGCATAGTTGCAGATGGAAGAATTTTCCTCCTGATTGAACTTGTGGCTTGCTACAAATGTGTTACAATTCCACAATCTTCTCTCTGATTCTTGTTCAAATTTGATGATCAATGCTAATAAGGAAGAAGAAGAATTAGTTTCAAATCTGACATAGATTTGGGATTTTGTTGTTATGGATCTAGTATGTTGTCATTGGCCGATCACCATTTTTTTTTTTGATTTAGGATGTTGTTGATTTGGGTTGATTTTGTTGTTCATGTTGTTGAATGTTGATTGATGCTAGTTCAAGGAATTTTTTCTTATTAATATATGTTTTAACAAAAAAAGTGGGAAAATGATGTGGCATCTAGCTAAGTTTTATTAAATTAAAATAATCTCCCTAATAGTCAACTAATGGTCAACAGTTGATGTTTGTTAAATTTAGGTGACATTGCCCTATTTTTAAAAGATTAATAGCAACATTATTGTTTTTGTTAGTTTAGAATACCTGAAATCCCTTGTGCAATACCTTGAGGGAAAATTTGCAACTAATCCTGTTTTTTTATTATGAATTATACTTCTTTCACTAAAAAATGGGAACTTTGCTTTTGTTTTTTGGGCAGGGTTATATTACACCATTTTTTTGTTTAAATAGATTCTCTTTTTGATACATTATTGGTGTTTCAATATGCCTGAACAGGATTTTTTGTGGAGGGTTTATTATGAAGTAAAAAATTGTTAATAAATACTTTGAAAATAATAATAATATTGTTTATTCATATTTTTCATTAGATGCCTCCATATATAACCACAAGGATAAATTTGTCCGTTGGCCAAAAAAAAAATTTTGCCCATAAAATATAAGCTAAATTTATTAAAATTTGAGAGTGTGGGTGGTTTATATTGATGTTAAAAAATTTATAAAAAGTTTATTATTAATATGTAATGGTCTATCATTTATAAATATAATAAACTGCTCATAATGTAAAATATAATAAATGTTGAGTTGTTTACTTAATTTTTTTTTTGCAAAGGCCCCTATCTATAATTATATAAAGGGAGAAATATATTTGCAACTCACATTTTTCTTCAATTTTGAATTGAGTCCTTATAATTTATTTTATAATAGATTAACATATTTAATGGATCAAACTAAAAAGAATTGATTAAAATAAAATGAACTTCATGAACTTAATTTAAAATTAAGAAAAATTATAAATACTTGTGGATTATTTTTTTCTTATATAGATGTATAAATGATGCCAAAATATAATCCCAATCCTAATTAATTGTTTTTAACAGCCTCTTCCAAATTCCTAATTAATAGGACAGGCCGTGGGCTTAAAGAAACACACTAACAATGGATGATCCAGAAAAGGCCAACACTTTCGACATTACATATAGCCGACCAATCGAGACCCAAATTTCTTTTGAGGAACAACGAAGACCCAAATTGTTGTTATTTTTTATTTAATGAGTGAATGAAGCTATAAATAAAGACGCAGTTCTCTCACCAAACAAAAATAGAGGAGAGTTCGCAAACTTCTTTTTCTTCATCTACACGAAGCACCAATCCGTTAACGCGTTGATCCTGAAAGGCGAAGGCGAGCAAAGAGGGACAGAGAAGGAGTGATGGATTATGAACTGCGAAGAGCGAGAGAGAAGCTAGAGAGAGAACAGAAGGAGAGGAAGGAGAAGGCCCGGTTGAAATTGGAGAGGGAAAGGAAGGCTAAACGAGAGGCTAGGAATCAAAGGGAAGCCATTGAAGCTGCTCAGAGATCTCGCCGTATTGATGCAGCCGAGGCTCAACAAAAGGTCCCCCCTTTCTTGCCCAACTCATCCTTCTCGAACACCCTTCATTTTCCTTTTCTTTTCGTCGATTTCACTTTTCTTTATTGTTCTTCAATTCTTTTTTCTCCTCTCATCCTTCAAATTTCTGTTTGAGGTTTCATTAGGACTATATCAATTGAAATTGATTATGCTGTCTCGTAATTTATCTGCTATATAAATTTTTTGAAACACTTATCGGTGAATTCTAAAGATAACTTTGTCAAGTGATCACCAGGGTTTTGGGACGAACTTTTTTGCTTTATGGCATAAATTGTTGTTAATATATCAGTACTCTGGGGATGCAACGTGCTGCTTTGCTCTCTACTCGAAGTCTGCGATTGCAGAAAATTTTATTCTGAAATTTTTAGTTGTAAACTTAGGCAATCTGAAACATTGAAATAGATGGCAAGTCTCACATCCCTTTCATCCCCATGCCCCAGTTTTCTGGGCCTCGTCTTGTCGTGTGAAAGACTATATTTGGACTTCCGACGATAAATGAATGTCTCTTGGCCAAGTCTTAGGCCAATTGAATTGACCGGGCTTCTAATGTACTTTTGTAACGCTCACATTGCAATCCTAGGATTCCCTGTAGAATTTTCCTTAAGAGTAAACATGACGGAATACACCTTCAGAGCGATATTAAAATTAACAATAATCTGGCGGAGTGTAGGTCTAGTCAGAGAACTATAAAGGAAATAGCAGAATACACACGCCAGACTAGCTTTGGAGAGGCCAGGTCTCTCCCAAACAACACTCACATATTCCTTGATCTCTTCCTCCACCCACGAGTTCACTACCTTCTATACATATATAGATATACACATTTGCGCGTTCTATTGGAATCATCAACAGTATCCCAGCAATTGTACTTAATCTTTTTGGGCTTGAATTGCGGACAGATTACAGGCCCAAAATTACATTTCGCTGAAATATAGTTTAATTGATGCGAGACAGTGGACATCAAGGTTATTGTTGAATCCTTTGTTTAATCCCACCATTGGGTAAAAAAAATCTTGCCAATTTACGGGTAACACATGTAAAACATGTAGTAGTGTGTGAGATTTTGTGGCTATTGAACTTTTGGTGTGAATAAATTATAATAATCTTCTTTTACCTTCTCTTCTTCAGGCTGAGGAACAGATGCAAGAAAGCTTACTTGCTGGAAGAGGAGTCGTGTTTTACCGTCTATTAGGTGCTGTACCTTGTCAAGGTAATGGTGATAAGATCAAACTGCCACCTTCATGCTTCACAGAATTGTCTGATCAGGGTGCCCTTGATAAGGGACCCATGTACTTTCGATTGTCAATAGTTCATGAGGAGGGTTCTTCGGGCATGAGAGCTACTGATGAAGATAATCAAGGGGCCACCCATTCAGGAGTTTTAGAATTCACTGCTGATGAAAGTTCAGTAGGTCTTCCTCCTCATGTGTGGAATAATTTGTTTGCGGATGTTAGTCCTAAGTCTCCATTAGTAGAGGTCCGCTATGTTGGGCTTTCAAAGGGGACTTATGCAAAACTTCAACCTGAAAGGGTAGGATTTTCTGATTTGCCAAATCATAAGGCCGTCCTTGAAACAAGTCTTCGGCAACATGCAACTCTTTCTCAAGGTGATATTTTGACTGTCAACTATGGGGAACTTGCATATAAATTGAGGGTGCTTGAATTGAAACCTTCCTCAAGTGTATCTGTCTTAGAAACAGATATTGAAGTTGACATTGTTGATCCTGATACAAGCTCAGAAAAGAGAGATCAGCATGTTTTACTCCCACTTGAATTCGGGGTGTCAAAATCTGGAATGGTGGATGAAGAAAATTTTGTATACTACAAATTCTCAATAGACAATGGCATCTGGGAGAAAATCATTGCTGACAATTCCAATGTTGAGGTAAAATTGGAAGGTGAGACAGGTAGTGGAGACACTGATCTTTTTATATCTAGACACCCTCTGATATTTCCTACTCGACACCAGCATGAGTGGTCATCGCATGATGTTGGCTCAAAGGCTTTGATTCTTAGCTCTGAGGATAAAAACTTTGGGGCTGGGACGTACAGCATTGGAGTATTTGGATTTAAGAGAACAACCAAATTCAAAATATCAGTGGCAATACAGGAAATTTTCCATCAAAAAATAGGTCGACAAGCATCATCGTCCATGTCATATACAGAGACAGACACTGAACAGTGCCGGAATTGCAAGCATTACATACCTAGTAGGACTATAGCATTGCATGAAGCTTACTGTAGCAGACATAATGTTATATGTCAACATGCTGGTTGTGGAATTGTTCTTAGGATTGAGGAGTCCAAGAACCACATTCACTGTGACAGGTGTGGTAAAGCTTTTCAGCAGGGAGAATTGGAAAAGCACGTGAAGGTTTTCCATGAGCCTCTTCACTGTCCTTGTGGTGTAGTCCTTGAGAAAGAACAAATGGTGAGTAAAGTATCCTTGCTTCTTTCATTAAGCATTGTGTGACCTTTTCTTAAACCTTCTTTTCATGTTATCTACCCTGAGTTATTATCTTGTGATTGGTTTGTGGCTGCCCATTTAGCTCAAGCTATTCTTGCTGAAGTCTGGGTTAGATTTGAAATATCAATTGCAAATGCTTGATTCTTACCTGAAGTTTGTTACCAAACACATGGAAATTTTAATTATTCAATTTTTAGTTTTAATTCTAGAAAGTATAACCTTTAGTCATTTAAGAAATGGGATAATTACCACCCTCTATTAGGGTGGATGAAGAAAGTGGTTAAGATCTCTCTTATTCTGCTTGGTATGGTTGGAAGTTTTTCACTGGGAAACTTTTCCTAGATTTTAGAGAATAATTGGAAGGGTGATTTTTTTCTTTTCTTTTGTTTTTTTTCCCCTGCGGTTGACGAATAGAGATGATGATTTCTTTTTAAAGTTGGAAGTGTAACATGGAGTGTAAAGCTTTTCCAAGTCAGCCACCAAATACATTCAATGAACATTGTTTTGTGGACTGCACCTTCCTTGTATGAAAACTTCGTTTTACTTTTTCTTAGCATATTTCTTTTTGGATGTTTTACGCTTAGCCTCAGTTTGCCATGGTATTTCATCTCATGCCAATATGCACAAGTTAGAAGCTCAAAGAGATATGAAAAGAAATGGTAAATAAAAGAAACATTGAGAAAGATTCTTGGAAACAATTAGGATTATAAAAAGACTTATTTAGCTATATAGGAGGCTAGAATAGAATCCTTCCTATCAACAAAGTCGTCTTTTTTTTTTTAATTCAAAATTTTCCCTGTGTTCTCTTGGCATATTTGAAAAATCCAAACATTTAGAGTCAGATGAAGTTATAGAAATTGGGGTTATTTTTCTAAATTAAGGCATGCAAAAGGTCTTTAAAAACTTAGAAGTTGACGTTCACATTATTGTTGTTTGATTAATACTTCTGGTCAATATTCAATTTATGCTTTGATATTTGATGCATCCTTGGACAATTAATTTCCTACAAGGAAAAACTTGTAAATAATTCCCTATTTTTGTGTGGTGCACTTATCATGGTTTTATTAGAAAATCATTTATCAATATAATATTTATCGTCTACAACAACTTGCATTATTGAAAAGTCATTATCATACTCATTTTTCAAGCATCGTGCAATGCATGGGACTGATATTTTGCTTGTTATATTTTAGCTAGAAGGTCTTTTAGTAAAATTGACAAGAAACTGCATCTAAATCTAGTTCTTACTTTGAAAGGCGGAATAAATTGATATGACTTGCCATTATTTTTCATTTCATGTTAGGTTGAACACCAAGCTTCAGAGTGTCCCATGCGTTTAATTGCATGCCGCTTTTGTGGTGACATGGTTCAAGCTGGAAGTTCTGCTGTTGACATCCGTGACAAGATCAGAGGGTTAACTGAACATGAGAGTGTTTGTGGATCTAGGACAGCCCCATGTGATTCTTGTGGGCGTTCAGTGATGTTGAAGGACATGGACATTCACCGGATTGCTGTTCATCAGCATGGCTAACTTTGATGATGTACAAAACCCTTGCTTCTTTACCTGAGGAGGAAAGGCTCTTGATTGCTGAACGAAAAAAAAAAAAAAAAAAAAGGGGGGGGGGGATATTGGTAGGCAGAATCTGGAGCTGAATCTTTTGTGTCTTGTTACCTGGGTACATAAAATAAGTTTGGGGGGGGGGGGGGAGATATTGGAAGGCAGAATCTGGAGCTGAATCTTTTGCCTCTTGTTATCTGGGTAGCTGATTGGATTGATATACTGTCAGATTTTCATGTGATAAAACAAAGTTTTGCACTGTGGTCTGGGAGATGTGTGTACTTGTTTATCCTGCGCTTTGAACTTTTGAAACTTGGGGGCTTGATTCATTCCGGCGCTGTCTTTCTGTTGCCTGAAATTATTCCAAGCGCCTCCCTGCAATGGTTTCAACATGATTACCAATTGATGGCGTTGTGTCGCCAACTTGTATTTGCGATAAAAGATTTAGAGCTTTGTGTGGTTTCCCACTTCACACCTCATATTGGACATCAATTTTTTCATTAATTAAGGAAAAATGGTAGACCCTGTTGATAATAGAGACTAATCTCATAGAACACGGAGAATGAATTCTTCCCACGTTTGATACGGAATTGGTGAGGTAATGTATTTTTTAAATTTTTGTGACTTTTCAAAAAGTAACAAAATATGAAGAAAAGACAGCCCGCATGAAATGAAAGTAGTGAAGTTAAACTTGAAACCTCAGAAGGATCAGCAACTCGATGAAAAACTAAGGTTTTAAAAATTGGATTGGACTGGCTGGTTCAATTGATTGAAATAGAAATCGATTCTTGGTCTAGTTCGATTGACCCTTAAAATCAGTCAGTAGTGAACTGGTTAAAAATCAGTAAAATCGGACAAAAACAAGACTGGTTCTCATGAAAAAACCGGAGAAAATTTAAAAAATAAAAAAATAAATTAAAATTAAAATTAAAATACATCTTTCTTGATATTTAAATGAAAAGCTTCACTTATAATTAATATTAATTATGTATTTATCAATAATAAAATATATTACCAAGCATCTATAACATATTTTTGAAAAAAATGCATATTTAAATGTATTTCTTATTTAATTATTATACATAAATTAAAAATATACTAATTTAATGTCAACTGATTCGACCCCGGTTAGACCATGATTCGACCAATGAACCGTGAACCAGTGTCTCGTCCGGTTCAATGACCCATCCGATTTTTTAAACCTTGTGAAAAACACTACAATGTTCTGTGATAGTATTTGATCAAAAATTTAATGAACACTCCTTTGTAATCTGTTAATCTTGAACTTACGTTATGATGGGGCCGTTTCCACTTATTGATGGGATCTTATTAATTATTACTCAATTTGAATTGATAAGATAATGCCAATTATAGTACTGTTATGAAAAATTTGAATGTTGTGACATGCTCCTGATTCTATTTGTTCTTATTAAATACGTTAAATAAAAATATCAATAACAAAATTTAAAAATATTTATTCAAGTTTAAAGTTTTTTTAGTTTTAATAAAATATACTGAAAATAATTTATAAAAAACATAAAAGAATATATTTTCCTTCATCCTTTTTCTTTAGGGGCAAAGTATGAGTCGATATGAAGCAATAAATCAAAAAGCTGTGTGAAACAAAATAATTATAACTGTGTGTCTATTCTCTATTTCTCTTCCAAACAGATGGACAGGTGACACGCATGTTAGAAAAAGATTGTTGCTGAACTTTTAGTTGTTTAAAATGTTCCTAAAAAGCTAAGTCTATCATATCATCGCTTTCCTTTGAATATGCATCTTCAATCATTCATCTTACAGTCACTAAGAGTTCAGCTAGGGTCATTGCATTAATTTTTTCAAAAAAATTATAATATTATAATTTCAAGAGCAAAAATTTTAACTACAGAACATTTGTTTTTTTGTTTACCAAATAATGAACAGTTCTACTTTTATAGTTTTATACGTTCAAAAGAGTAACAAAGCAAGCGTAATGAATGGTTAAGATCTGCCATTAAAGCAAAGGATCCACTTTTGATATGAAAAAATAATATTCCTTTTCTTTTAAACTATAGGACGCTTTTAAAGGAATTTTTCTGTCTTAAAATATAAGATACTGTGAGTAGATTAATATTTTATTAAATACACTAATTTTAATATTATGTTTTCTCTCTCTATAATTAATTTTTATTTATTCTCTTTTCAATATATTAAATGAGAGGTAATTTTAAAAGTTTACAATTTTATTTTAAAAAAATAAACTTATTAAATGTATTTAATGATATTTATTGACATGTAAAATTTTATTTAAAAGTATTTTATAATTTAAGATGGAGAGAGTAATAAATAGCTGAGGTTAAAAAAATAAAAAATAAAATAAATAGCCGTTATATGAAGGAAAGAGACAGGTTGCCAACATAACTTCCCTCGTCTCCTCCCAGCGGCTTCACTTCACTGCACATGCCGACAACTAAACACTACTGGTCCTTTGCGATTTTAAAACTGCATCCTCTCAATTAATTATTCTTTATTGCCTTTTCGGTTTGGACACACATTCATTTTTCAGTTTTTTTTTAATTTTTTTCCAACGGAAGAAGAAAAGAAACTATTGCTTTCCTATTGACACCTCATTTCACTCTTACTTCATGCATGCCTGTGCCCTTTCTTACCTATTTTTCAAACGTTTCTGTCGCTTTCTTTCTCTTTCTATCGCCATTTATGCATGGATAGACGACTGGAAAGGGCCTAGAGCCTCTCTGTTCATATGTAAGTGGAAATCGGATTTTGTGTCGAGAAGGCAAAGGCAAAAAGTCATCAACTTTTGGTGATTGCTGACTTTTTGGCTTCTGGCTTTACTTGCGACTGGTTGAACTAACAGGGTGATCGTCTCAATTGGATAGACGGGGGAGGACTTTACTGGCGTTATGTTTCGTATCTGAGGTAATGTTCGTGTTGGTCGTGAACTCTTATATTTGATTTATGTTGATCTTGAAAACTCATTATCACATCTTTTTCATGTACTGAAATTCCCAATCAAGAGCTTTTTTCTGTGTGTTTATTGTGTTTAGTTTATCAATTATTATGATTATTATATTTAAGTTTTGTAGAAGTTTATTTTTATCTCATTGGCGGTCAAGATGGCAGGGAAAACAGAACTATTATGATTTTTGTCACTTTTTCTTTCTTTATTCGCTTAAATCTGGAAATGTTGGACTTGGATTTTATTTCGGGTTTGAACTAACTGGTGAGAAATAGAAAATAATTCCACTTGGTGCATTTAAAAAGCTGGTTTTGGTCTGGCCTCTGAGAAGACGATGGGAGAAAGAGTGCTCCGTATAAGTTCAACAACTATAAAATTTTTCGTTATCATGTTACGTTCTTTTTTCCCCTTCCGTGGTTCTAACTACACTATCACTTTATTCTTCATACTAAAGGGGAATGTAACCTTATAGCTGGAAGCGTAACACTCTATATTTTCGTCATGTTCTTCATTTATTTTACAGGAGATAGCCTGTTATTTGTAGGTTGAGGTGTGGATATGGCAACGCTTGGAGATATAGGACTTGCAGCAGCTATAAACATCCTTAGTGCATTTGTTTTTTTCCTGGCATTCACCATACTTCGAATTCAGCCTATAAATGATAGGGTGTACTTTCCAAAATGGTATCTGCGGGGTTTAAGGAGCAGTCCATTGAGTGCAGGAGCTTTTGTGAGCAAGTTTGTGAATGTGGACTTCCGGTCATACATAAAGTTTCTGAAGTGGATGCCTGCGGCATTGGAAATGCCAGAACCTGAATTAATTGACCATGCTGGGTTGGATTCTGCTGTTTACCTGCGGATCTATTTGCTAGGGTATGCTCTGCTAAGTATTCAGCATTTGATGTTGGCTATTAACATAAGCTAAGTTATTGTTGATATCTAATCTCAAGATAGTTGACATTTAACCTTTACCCCAACAGAATGTATTTATCAATTATTGTAAAGCTGTGACTATTTTTTAGCTGAAGCTTGTGGAATAATTAAGAATGTGAAGAATTTCATTACTACAGACCTCTTGTACATACGCTTCATGCTCATATTTAAACTTATTTGTTGATTATTTCATGATGCCTATAATTTTTGAATAATTGATCCCTTTTGAATTGAAGCGCAGCCTAAAAATTTTTGTCCCTATCGCATTCCTAGCATTTGCGGTCATGGTGCCAGTCAATTGGACCAGTGGAAGCTTGCAGGGTTCAAATTTGACTTACAGTGACATAGATAAGCTTTCCATTTCAAACATTCCACTTAAATCAGATAGGCATGCAATCTTCTTTCCCAGTTGTCAGATTTTTTGTTTATTTTTACTTCTCTTTTTGTCTTCTTATATATTCTATCATTTGATATGTATTTTTTATTAATAGAAATTCTGGGTATCATTATTTGAAAGAATTAAAAATTCAAATTACATGCACATGATATTTGTCATGGTGTTGCTAGAATTACTATTCAATTGTTACTTTCAATGTTTACCGTTCTACTCTTTGCTAGTCCAAAACAATGTATTACAGCTTTCCGGTCGTATAAATTGTTGCTTATCTCCTTGATGTGCTTTCCATTGCACTTTATTTCCATCAATAACAGCATATTTTTCTTTTAATCATTATGTTACATGATTTGCAGATTTTGGACCCATTTGGTAATGGCTTATGCTTTTACCTTTTGGACGTGCTATATTTTAAAAAGGGAGTATCAAATAATCGCTTCCATGAGATTACATTTTGTTGCATCAGAACTGCGCTGTCCTGACCAATTCACTGTAAGAATTAAGTTTTATCACGCCAGCAAAGTGCTAGGATCTTGCTACAGACAGGGCTGTTTTGTAGAATTATTAAATTCCTTTTAACAAACAAAGGGAAAACTATGTAGATATGGAACAAAAGTGATGAGAAAAGCAAATTCTTGGCCTCTGCCTTAGACCAATGTATAACTGGGAGAAGAAAAGGTAGAGAAGGCAAAAACCAACGGGTAATTGGAAGTATCAGATAGTTGCTTCCATGAAAATGCATTTTCTTTCATCAGAACATTGTTGTTCTGTAATGGGCTTGTGAATTGTTGGATTGTTAAATTCCTTCTAACAAACAAGGTTTAACCCATGTGGTCAAAGAAATAAGTGTAAGAATATGTTTGGTAATGTTAGCACACTGGTGTGTTCATGTGATGGCGCTGTATATTGTAGGATTTTTACATTCCATTTAGCAAACAGAGGTGCAACCTGGTCAAAGAAAGCAAGTGATTAAAATAAAGGGTACTTGGCTCACTCCTTACCACAAATGAACAACTTAAAGAATAAAGGTAGATATGCCCAAAAAATAAAAATCAATGTTCCTGTCATTTCTTTTAGGGTAGATGGGGCAGAATACTTGAATAAAACTTTTGGTAATTTTCTCAAAGCCTATGGAATTATACACAAAAGCACATGTACTTACCATCCTCACCAAATTGGGATTGCAGAAAGGAAAAATAAACACAAACTTGAAGCTACTCGAGCTATTATATTTACCAATAATGTGCCAAAATTCTTTTAGGGTGATGTGGTTTCGTTAGCTACCTATCTTATCAATAAGGTGCCCAATCAAACCCTCTCTTTCAGAACCCCTCTTGAAGTGCTTAAACATAGTAATCCTACCACCGACTTTGGAAATAAATCTTCTATTTGAAGTCCTCGGATGCTCAGCATATGGTCACATTCATCATAATAGTAAACTTGATTGAGCTATGAAATGCATATTTCTAGGCTACTTTGCTAATGTAAGAGGAGGATGAATGAGAAAACTACAAACAAGAAGGATCTTAATGTTTTCACCAGAAAAAAGAACCCAAGTAACAAGTTGAAGGCGCTCGATATACTATCTGAATTAGAACTAATGACAAATCCTGATGAAGTGGAGCAAGATGCCATTGATGAGTCTAGTCCTAATGTGGAAGAATTGCTTGACCCTAATGCCTTAGATTATGTAAGTGAAGTTGATGATCTTGATCTTCCATTTGCAGTTAGAAAGAAACATTGCTCTTGTACCTTACAAGCCACTTGCACCTTGTTATTATGCTTTCACCATTGATCATGATAGAACTAAAATGATTGAATATTGAGGAGGCCTTTTTATGCACATGAATGGAGGAAAGCAGTTGTGCAGGAGATAGAGGTTCCAAAGGAAAATGGGTGGGATTTGGGAGGAAAGAAATTTGTAGTTGCAAGTGGGTATTTACAATGAAGTATGGATCAGATGGTAGTATAGAAAGATACAAGGCTAGATTAGTGGCTAAAAGGTTCACTGAAGCCTATGGAATGGATCACAAAGTCACATAGAGACATTTCCACTGGTTGCTAAGTTAAGCATCAATACCATCATAATTTTCCTAACCCTAGCTACAAATCTGGATTGGCCTTGTGCATATCTTGTCCCACATGAAGAGACTAAGCATGTAGAAGTTGATAGACACTTCATCAAGGATAAAATTAAAGAGGGAATTGTAAGCACTACCTAACAAAGGGACTACATCTTAATCCAAAATATTAAGGCAATGAGTTCATGGGTCCTTTCAGTTATATACTTCTTGTTCAGCTCTACTTTATCCGTTGTGGTACTTCTCCCCACACTAAGTCGAAGTCAAGTTTTTACTCACGCCAAACTTCCCAATAATTTCTTCCTCAAGTGCGAGTTTACTATTGATAAAATAAAATTATTCTCCATATTTGCCTGCATTTTGCATACATTAGCCCTTTTTAAATGGTGCATTGATTGATGTGTGGTGTATTCCCTTTAGTTTGGGCTTTCATCATCTTCACACAAATCCTTGTTGTAACTAAGGTTTTGTTACAATTTGTTAGGCCTGGGGAGTATTGTGAGAGTGGGAGGATCCAATTGAGCTAGAAGTAATGAGAAGATGCGCATAAATAGGCTTGACATGTTGTAACGCCAAACCTTAAGGCATTGAATTTATTGACCCTTTTATTTATATACCTTTTTTTCAACCAAACTCTATCTGATGTAAGACTTCTACGCATAACAAGTCCAAGTCTTGTCTACTCATACTTGACCTCCCAACAACAATAATTCAAAGCTATCAACTATTGCCAAGATTCATTTTGTTGCATGTGGATATATGCCCAGATTATATGATAGTTTCAATGCTCTTAAATGACTCTTTGGACCTTATGTTCCTTTATGAAATCAATTTATCTTGTAGGTGCTTGTTAGGAATGTGCCACCAGACCCTGACGAAGCAATTAGTGAGCTTGTGGAACATTTTTTTCTGGTCAACCATCCAGATCATTATCTGACTCATCAGGTTTGATCTTTTTGGTTACAACCTCATGTATATGTTGTATTGTTTTAGATATCGTAACAAGTTTCCATGAATTGTGAACTACTTTGTTATGCTTCCAAGTTTTAATCCGCAAAACTATAAAATCCGAAGGGAATAGCATTGTTGGTGAGAGATGTAGGGGAGTGTAGCTTAATATCACCTTAGAAGGGCATTTAGCGAAACAAGGTTCAAGTATATCCTAACTATATTACCAAATGAAAAGGAAACCAATGAAGCATGCTTGCCTGACTCTCTCATTTATGTTAGTTCTTGGTTGTGTTTTAATGAATACTCCATGCTTGATCAAGGGTAAGAAAATTTTGATCAAGTGGCTAGACATATGATGATATTACTATAGTTGTCCTAGGATATATGTTCATCACATTGATGAAAGCGATTTTATAAAGAAATATCTTAAGCTGTTTAATTCAAAAGGAAACCTAAATGGAATTCTCCCTTATTTTTTTTTTCATTGGGCCATACTAATAAAAACATCTGATATTGTTACAGTAATTCTGGGGAATCAACTTTATTGCATTTGTTTAGCTTTCTATCCCATGCCATCGATTTTATTAGATAATGATGATTTAAAATTGTTTTATAGTTTCTATGCTCACTTAATTTTTTTTTTCCAGGTTGTTTACAATGCAAAAAACCTTTCTAGCCTAGTATCTCAGAAGAAAAGGAAACAGAATTGGCTTGACTACTATAATCTTAAATATTCTAGAAATCAAACCAAAAGGCCGGCAAAGAAGGTATTCCGTTTTCAAATAGTCTGATTCATATTATTATTCATTTTGAAGTTGGGTTGCAGCATTAGCTTTGTCGTGCCATTTTTTTAAGAAGTATTCCTTCATGTGCACCATTCAAATTTGTCGTAGCTAAGATTATATTAGCAGACTGGTTTTCTAGGTCTTTGGGGCAGTAAAGTGGATGCTATTGACTTTTATACATCCGAAGTTGCACGATTATCAGAAGAAGTAAGTAGAGATCCCTTTTCTTTTATAACCTTTAATTGCCGTTGCCTATGCTTCCTTTTTCCTACATAAAATGCTCTGGGGGATATGTAAATTTCCCTAAACCTCAAGAGAATCTAGTATAATTGTTTTGCATTTGAGGGCCTGTTTTTTCTACTGTAATTGGAGGGAAATACTAAAACAGAGTTCCAATGAAGAGTAAGACAACTTGTCTAGCAATGTTGTCTTGTCTATGATTGCGGTGTATAGAATTTTGTTGTCGTATTTAACATTCAGATCTATGCTTATGGCATGCCATCACGATACATATTTCTTTAATGGTCTTTTGAACATAAAGCAAAACGAAATCTTTGTTTAGAGAGTGTTTTCTATTATTTCTGGGGACAGAAATTTATTTACTCCAAGGACTATTCATTTAGTTTGATGTTAACTTTCAGATAGCCTTGGAGAAAGACAAGATTACAAAAGATTCAAGATATATAATGCCGGCAGCATTTGTTTCCTTCCGAACTCGATGGGGTGCGGCAGTTTGTGCACAAACACAACAGTCTAGAAATCCAACCGTATGGTTGACAGAGTGGGCTCCAGAACCTCGTGATGTGTACTGGGATAGCATGGCAGTACCATATGTTTCACTCTCAATAAGGAGGCTTATAATTGCTGTTGCTTTCTTCTTTCTTACTTTCTTCTTCATGATTCCCATTGCATTTGTGCAATCACTGGCTAACATTGAAGGCATTGAAAAAGCAGTCCCTTTCTTGAAGCCCATCATAGAAGTGTATGCATTGTTCTTTTTCTCGTTTCTCCTCCTATGCCATCTACCTTTTCCATCCTGTTTTACATTGTCACATATTTTACTTTTAGTTGTCCATAAAAACAATCCAAAGAATTTTCAATTGTGTCTCAAAAATAGATGTATTTTCAATTTGGTTTTCCACAAATCATTTCTTTGAACTTAGTCCCTCAATCCCTAAAATGCCTACCATGTTGTCCTTCCATCCCATTTCTGTCCAAAATTTAAAGCCAACTAGCAGCTGACCTCAGATATGGCATCTAAGTGAACAAATTGTGAGATTTGGTGTTTAATTTTGGTAGAGATTAGAAGAAAGGGCAATATTGCAAAAGTTTTGGTGACTGAGGGGACTACAGGGAAATAATATTTGAAAGTCCAAATTGAATCTTTCAAGGATCAAAATTGCATTTTCTTCCGCTTGTAGTTGTCTTTGTTAATTAAATTTATTGACACTTATTGCAACGTAGAATGATAACGATACAATAAATGCTAAGTTTTATATCTTTCCGAAAAACCTTATGTCCAAACCTTACATGGCCCATGGTAGAAATTAATCTTCTCCCTTATTTCCTATTCAGAAAAGTAATTAAATCTTTCATACAAGGGTTCCTTCCTGGGATTGCTTTGAAGATATTTCTCATTTTTCTACCCTCAATATTGATGTTAATGTCCAAGTTTGAAGGATTTATAAGCCTGTCTTCTCTGGAAAGGAGATCAGCCACAAGATATTACATTTTCCAATTCATTAACGTATTTCTTGGGAGCATTATTACTGGGACTGCATTCCAACAACTGGATAAATTTATCCATCAGTCTGCAGATGAGTAAGTCCTCCTCATCAGTGCATCATTTTTAATTATAACAGAGCAACTTTTCTTTGACCATCAAAATGCTGCATTTTACTACATTTAGAGTTTTAGACCCAGTTAGAAAGAGTGCTTATGCAACATTTTGATGGCAACATAAGCAATTAAAAGTCACATTACCATTGTGTTAAGTCGCTTGACATGTCTTAGTAACGTTTTTTTAGTGGGCTTCTACGTAAATCATTTTCAAACAGAAATGTTCTTTGAATGACTAAAATGAGCCTATTAATATTTGGAGGGCTGCATTGAAACAAGGTGCATCTTTGGAGGACCAAAACTCAGTATACTCTATTTTCTGTGTTTGCAGAATCCCAAAGACAATTGGTGTCTCAATTCCAATGAAAGCTACTTTCTTCATAACTTACATAATGGTTGATGGGTGGGCTGGATGTGCAGCTGAGATTCTTAGGTTGAAGCCTTTGATATTCTATCACTTAAAAAATTTCTTTCTGGTAAAGACAGAAAAGGATCGAATAGAAGCAATGGATCCGGGCACAATTGGCTTCAATACCGGTGAACCTCAAATACAACTTTATTTCTTGCTTGGCCTTGTTTACGCTGTGGTCACGCCAATTCTGCTTCCATTCATTATAGTGTTCTACGGCTTGGCATATGTTGTCTATCGCCATCAGGTAAAAAACGGGCTAAGGTTTTTTATTTTGATGCTCCTGGTCACCATTTCCATACTTACTGCCATAGATTATAAGAAGAATTTGGGGAAATTTTCTTTTTTCAGTCATTGAAAAAAGTATGCCTTAATTATTTGATTCTCAAATCTTACCTCTACAATAGTCTTGTATGTATGATGCACGTCTACTGCGTTGCATTGTGTTACTGCAATGCTTAGGCCCTGTTTGGTACGCAAGAATGAATTTTGAAGGATTGGGATTGGAATTGGTGTTAGGATTGGGAGTAGGAATGGGACTAGGAATGAAATTTAAAACCATGTTTGGCATAACACCTACATAATGTGGGAATGAAAAAAAAAAAAGTAACACTCAAATAAACAAAAAATTAGTTAAAAGACCAAATTATCCTATATCTTCTTCCTTGTTGCCGACAAAAGCCATGGAAGAAGCTAAACCAGATATGGCTTATAAAGCTTTTTGTTCATAGCTTTCAAGAACCTCAGCCATCTCGTCCTCTTCACCAAAGCCTCATGCACTGCCACCCATTCCAGAACCTAAAACCTTTTATTGCCTAAATGCTCAGGTATAGTAGATCTGAGATGCGAGGGTAATGATTGAAGATGGCAACTGCAGATTTGAGACACAAAGGACATGAGCTGAGCGAGGGAGACTGCAGCGCCGTGGGTGGAAGACGGTGATTGTAGATCTGAGATGCAAGACTAAGTCGCCGACACTGTGTTGTTGATCAGGGGCACAATGTCACCTTCGAATACCAGGGGCACAGTGTCACCTTTGAAGGGCAATTTGGTCTGCAAAATTTTAGTCCTGAGATTAATTTTCCAATACCAAAGGGGAGGGTGGTACTGGTTATTCCCACCTAAATGGGATTAGACTTGAAAATAAATTTGTCATTCCCACCTACCAAACATAAAAACTTGGTATTATCTAATTCCAAACCCAATCCACTTACCCAGTCCTGCGTACCAAACGTTGCCTTAGTGTAAAGAAAAGCAGATCTTATATTATTGAATAATATTTTATGGTTCCAAACAACGGCTTGCCTTTATTATTCAATATATATATATATATATATATAATGGAAAATATCAATTATCGGATTAAAGATGAACTTATTTTTTGATATGCTAAGGATGAACTCTTGGACTGACAACATACAGGAAGCCATTGAATGTTTCTTGTTCAGCATACACTGTTATGTAAAGAATCATGACTGGCTTTATTATATAATATTCTAAACTGCAAATATAGACTCTGCAAACAGTGATTAGTGAATCTACTTTCCAAAATTCAGCTTTAATAGCACTCTTGCTTCTGCTTAATAAATTCTTATTGACTAAGCCAGCTAAAAATTCCCTACCTATCTTGCAGTTTGAGAACTATATTGTAAAGTGTTGATAGTGTTGGTTTTTTCTCAAAAGATATTGAAAAGGGAACTAATATGAACTTTCTAAAATTTTCAAGAAAACCCATTTTGGTCCCCAATCTATAGGTGGATTTTTAACATGCAGGAAACATTACCCTTCCTATAGGACTGAGTTCAACTATAGGCTTACAAGTTAAACCTCAAAGACTGAGTTCTAATTAAGTTGAAATTATAAAGACTAAATGATTGTTTTTCATATAGGCTTACATTAAATTAAATTTTGAATGAAATCGAATATCAAGAGGTTTTACCATATGCATGAAGTTGAACTCGTGTATTGCAGATTATAAATGTGTACAACCAAGAGTATGAAAGTGCTGCATCATTCTGGCCTGATGTTCATGGGCGTATAGTGGTCGCATTAGTTGTGTCACAGCTGCTGTTAATGGGATTGTTGAGCACAAAGGAAGCTGCTCATTCAACTCCTTTTCTCATCGCACTCCCAGTTCTGACCATATGGTTTCATAGGTTCTGCAAGGACCGTTATGAACCTGCCTTCAAAATATATCCATTACAGGTTTGTCAGATATTGCCACTGGCATACTGATTTTTTTCTTCTCAATAAGTTAGCGGGCCTAGTCTCAATTTCATTGAACCTTAGGGCAAGCGCAAATAATTCTCTAAATTTTGAAGTTTGAGAACCAACTCCTGTGAATTTTTAATCTTTGTACAAACATTTGTTTTATACTAACAGATTACAACACATTAAGAACCAAAACCCCCAAAAAAATAAATAAATAAATTTCTTTTCTTGAGCAAATAATCTCCATAAACTTGGAATCTTGTAAGGTGTGCTATTAATGCACCTGACTTGTCAGATCCTGCTAATGGAATAAGCTAAAAGCTGGGAAATATCAGCCTAAATTTGAAAGCTTAGGAGAATTCATTATCAAGTTTTGAAGGTTGATATTATTTGTTCATGATCTATAGCTGAGGAGGGTTATGTGCAATTCAACCCCATACAAATTTCCCTTGGCCCCTCTGCTTCAAATGATACAATAGTTTTAGTCTTCTGATTTAGATGCTAAATTGGCATAAACTTTAGATGCTATGTAACGAGGCAAAATTACATTACATTGCTTTAAAAAGCTAACTTCAAATATTCACTACTGCATTAGCCAAATAAAAGAAGAAAACAATTCAGTCGTCCTTTGCCTTCATATTTAAACCTTTTTAACCAGTGTTTATCCTTGTGATTGTCGACTCATCATTGCATTTCAGGAAGCAGTGATGAAAGATACATTGGAGAAAGCAAGAGAGCCAAACGTGAACTTGAAAGAGTTCCTCCAGAATGCTTACATCCACCCAGTTTTTAATGATAGTGACAGAGATGAAATGATGGAAGAATGGGTGCAGGAGCCTGTGCTGGTCCAAACAAAGCGTCGATCTCGGCGAAACACACCACTAGCCAGCAAACAAAGCTGTTCCTCGTCGTCATCTGGGGACTAATTTGTAGGTCAACTTTGGGGGCATAGCGAGCAATAAAGGTTTTTGGTTGCATTAGATTAGAGAGATTTATAGAGTTTTGATGTTTTTCCAAAGGTTGTTCTAGGTACATGCTGATGTATGTACAGAACAAGAAGGACAAGAAAGAAAAGCCCAGCAGATTAACATTACTTGGTAGAATACATGTGAATATGCAAGCGCTATGAATGCTTATTTAGTAATCAAGTAATGTTCCTGAGGTTCTCATGATTTCCCAACTATTGTCCCATACAAGCCAAAATGAATTTTTTTCCCCCTTGGATAGATAAAGAAATGGTCTACAAAAGGGAACAAGAACAACTAGCCATTTGCAACATGAGGAACTGGGCTTATTACAGAATCAACATTAATTCAAGAGGAGTAACGATCCAAGACTAAAAGCAGTACAGAGATCAACCAGTCACGATCCAACAGTTGGCCATAATTTCTTTCAAGAGGTGGCAGAAAAAACCAACTTGCTTGATAGCTTAACTAAAACTAACTACACCGATTCTATCAATCATAATTGCCAATCGAACCTTCCTCCCACGTTTGATAAAGAAGCCACGTAAAACTTTTGGGTTTAATAGGGGCTCAACTCAACCCTATACGCATGGGATTAGGTATATAATGGCAAACTCGATCCTTTTTCATTTTCAAATTCAATAATCTACATATATATCTTCATGCTTCCTCCAGTTTAAAATATAAAAAATTTAAAAAAAAATCACATATCAATAAAGTTATCATTTTCATAAAAATATATATTATTTTTTTGTTTTTTACTTATAAACCCAATTACCAAAACATTCAATGATAAGTAAGAGGTATACTTACACAAATATCTAGGTTGATAAATACAATGGCTAAAATGGAAAAAAAAAATTTATATGTACTAAGTTGCTTATATTTTGAACTAAAATTAGCTGAGGAAAAACTCTTATATTTTGGACCAGAGAGATTATGAAGAATAGCATGCATGTACAATATTTATTTACTAACCAAAAGAGTACGCATAATTCATTTTTATAACTATAAAAGATATCAATGTACATTTTCTTTTTGATTGAATAGGGTTGCACAAAGATAGACTAGGGGGGAAAAAAAGGTTTGACTAACTTATAACCTGACTCGAAGACACCTTAAGATCTTTTTATTTTTGGAATGACAAAGGTTATGTGCCACTCGAAGATACCTTGAGATCTTTTTATTTTTGCAATGACAAAGGTTATTTGCAATAGCCCTAAAAGGATGCTTAGAATGCTTTTGGTGATCATTGCATAAGATAAACTTAGGAAGAGACAGGAAGGGAAGAGGAAATGTATGAAAACAAATGAGCAAATAGTTCATGCGAGAAGTGCATCTACTCATTGCTTAAAATATATATCCTAGGCAAGGCATGAAAGTTCATATTAATAATTGTATATGTAGAAATAAACCGTAGCGGTCAAGTGTAAAAGCACATATAGATACGGAAGTAAAAAATCCTAGAAGCTGCGTTTGACAGTGTCAGGATAATGTCACTGCATGGACAGAATTTCATGACCACGAAACACCAATAAAATCCTATGTTTGCGTTCCTCACCACCTACATTCAATCTGGCTTCTCAAAATGTGTAGACGGCAGCGATTCAGCAAAACAAAAGCCATGCATAATTTCAAATGGGGAAACTAAACTAGGCATCAACCCAAAATTAGCAACTAGTTGCACCAGCAGTAATACCAAACAACTATGACCATAATGTACACAAGGATTATTCATAAAACCAACCCAGCCAGCCACACACAGGCAAAAGATGAGATGAAAGTAAAAACGGAGCAGATAAAATAACTGTAGAAATATGGGGAGGTTTTCTGTGCACCAAATATAAACACACAAATTGCTTGAATTGAACACCACAAAAAGATACGTAACGATTGCGCAAATAAATTAAATAGGAAGGCACATCTAGATGGTGGAGTGCTTTTTGAAAGCAAATGATATCTCCATCTTCTAGCTGCAATATGGAAATCACATCAGCAACGCAGAGTATCAAGTGGGAAGAAATGTATTTACTTGGCTTTCTTTATAGGAGCGTTCCTTGTCAATAGGATCACACATGACATGTGGTTCAAACCTAATTTCCTGCACAAAACACAAATACAGGAAATGTCAATTCCCAGATGCAACCAAAGGGGGGAAAAGCAAGAAAGAAAGAAAAGAAGAGCCACTCATCCATAACCATGTCAAACATCATCAAATCTAAAGATCTCTCCTCTTAAATGAACTGCACAAGAAATATTATACAATTTCTTTGTCATGAACCACTAGCGAGTTTAGCTGCTAAGAATCTGAACCAGGACTGCTGATTCTTCAACATTAGTCAGTTCGGACCTCCACTTAGTTTTACCCAAGCTTCATCCTGGTCATAAATAGATCCCCCAGGTTCGGGTCCATAAGTAGTGACAATTGACCTGTGAAGAGTCACTTTTGATATGGCAATGGTGGGTTCCCTTAACCAAGCCACTGCCTATGAGTCGCTAGCTCATTCTTCAATAGGCACACAGTCAGTGGCCCAAGCTCCCCTGACTACTTGGGAGCTTATGGTTTCATGTTCTATTTCACTCCCTAATGGAGGTTCTTTTCACCCTTCCCTCTTGGTACTACTTCACTAACGGTCACCCATGCTCCATCCGGTCACATGTACTGAAAATTTATGTGGTTTTTGACATCATTTTTTTCTTGGATTAATTTATACAAAGAGAAAAAAAAAAACTACGAGAAGTTCAAGCTTGCCTAGCATACAATTTCAAAATTAATAATTGCAAATGGCCGCACAAGTCGATCTGAAAGCATTTGTAAGAGGGAAAAAAAACAAGCACAACTCATTGCTGCTTAAAAGAAGGGCCACAAAGCAATAATCATATGTTCTAGGGGCACAAAGGGTAGGATGGGTTCCACGTCAGGTGGGGCATATCAAGCATCCTACCTTCATTTGGATGCGAAGATTTTATGGCTGAATAGGCGAGAAAAGCATACAGAACAAGGCTCCGTATTTTATTCGATAACATACAAAGGTATAAATAAGAATATGGGTGAAAAAAAAAAAAATAGCCCAGATTCCCTACAAGATAGGACACATATATTCTGGCCAAATATCACCACTTGAGACAGCAAGAAAGGAAAGATAAAATACAACGAAGATAGAAAGAAAATACAGACATAATTGCGATAAATAATAAAGAAATAAAGAACTAAGAGAGGACAGATCCTGATTATACAGGATTAGGAAAGTATCAGTTTAGCGGCAATCAACAGGGTAGGCACGTCATTAATGACATGATTGAGCCAGCTCAAACCCTAGAGGATGTATAACACTGGTTGCAAGTTTGATGACGGTTCCTATAACTGATACAAGCAAGCTGATGCAAAAGCTGTGCGCTCTAAATAATCTTGAGACTTGTATAATTGACAGATTGATAGATAGTTGAGTTATGGTCAAGCTTAATTTATTGCATTAGGCAAGGAAACAAACTTCCTTGAATTCTGGTGGTTTGGTATTGAATCTTTTTTTAAGATTATAACTCCATGTGAACGTGAATAATGAAAACATACCCTGCCTCAGATTTCAGCTTCTCTTTTCTGTTTTGTTTCCTCACTTATGATCTTTTATTGAAGAAATAGGTGACCGGAAGCTTCAGGGAGTTTTTCATTCCCTCTTTATTCGTTTAATTCAATCTCCAGAACAATATTCACGTAGGCATCGGTGAAGATGAAGCCACAATCTATCAGGGATCTATATCAGATCTGTATTCAAGATGAATATCGGATTTTAATTCTAACTTACTGAAAGATACAGCAAAAAATAAAATAAACAACAGATTAAATAAAATTAAAGAAACAATGCCGTCTCTTAACATTCATGTGCTATAAGATCCTACAAATTTGCATGTTATGAGTTATGACCCATTCCAAGCCACCCCCATGCCCATTTTCCCAAGCCTCCATATTCAGGAATTTATAATGGGTTAGGATACATTGCTATTTCATTTCCTCTTTCAGCCCTCTCCAGTTTCCTCGTCTATCATGTTTTCCATTTAGGAAATTTCACCATGTAGACCCACCCCACCCCCGTTAATTCCAACTTATGGGAAGAGAATTACCTTCCATTTTTTAATCAAATTTCCAAACAATGGGGTGGTTTGTGTCGCCCAACCCATTCCACCCTATTAAAGCCAAACCTACCCCACCTCTTCAAATCGTGACACACAATAAATACTTTTTCTCTCTTCTTCTTCTTGTTTTTTTTTTTTTTTTGAACAATTTTTTCTCTCCTTTGTTAATCCAACCGCAGGAACTCACTTCTTTGCCTCCAAATAGTAATAATATTTTAAATTAAACTAAGCTGTACTTAATTTATTCATGCACAAAGAAATGAGTTGCCAGCTAGTTTATAGTTTACAGAGCTTCAAGAATAGAATTATTTTGTTGATTGCTCTTTTCTGAAATCATCCAGAGGCAAGAGACGCCTAGAATATATTGCCAAAAGTTAGCCTAAGACTATGAGAATAACCTCTTAACCAGACACAGACAAAAATAGAGCATGAAATCATGGCAAAATAAATTACATACTGGCTATCTGACTGGCAATAAAATGATGGACTAATGCCGTATTATGTTCGGTCAGAGGATCATGCCTGAAGTGGAAGTAATAACTAGATCTGGCTCCTACTAGTTACAAGACTCCATAGCAAGAATGACGCAGATGAAGATTAAGCTCTCCATCAACAACCAAATAGACATGGAAATGACCTAATAGACATGCCCAAACTCCCACCCTTGATAGAACAAGACCTTCATTGTTATTTTATTGGATTAAATTGGTCAAACGGACAGAAATGGTTTTGAACAGACCTAGCCCAGCAAACAAGGATAAAAACCACAGTACACAACTTGCATTAAGCTACAGCTGAAAAAATGAGGGCACCAACCTCATAAAGTAAAATCTCTTCTTCATGACAGTAACCAGCCATTTCACTTAACTTAATTAATATCTCCAATGGCTTACCAAAACTCTTCACAAAGAGCCTTCCCATATAACTGCCACCATAGAAATATAGATTTAACTAAAACAGTAGACCTTGCAACACATCCAGATAAATGGAAACTGGAAAGTCACAAAATTACTCAATACCGTAGTTCCTCTTTCACAGGATCATATAGCTTGAAGAAAAGTAACATATCATCCTTTGTCTTTTCAGGTGGTGTCAGGTGGTGCAATGGGACGTAAATCCTAAATAATAATGCAGAATATCAACAATAAAATGTTTGATGAATCAAATAGAAAGCAGCTTCCGTAATAAAAATATTACCAGCCCGAGCTCCACTTCCAAAAACAAATTTAGCTGTGCATTGTGAACTTGTTTTGAAACTTCTCTCAATTGCCCAAGCTGCAACATGATGAAGATGTTCAAGTGAAAAAACCATTCAAATGGTAGAGATGCTGACGCACGGCAAAGCACGATAACAGACAGACAATAATTCATAGATATTAACTGCACTTCCAGAACCCCCAAAAAAAAATTTACCTAGTATCCAAAATAATATAAATAACATTAAATGGTTTTTTTTATAAAAAAAATGTTAAGAATTAAATAACAGCCAGCAAAAGATGGGGGGCGTAAAATGGATTAATAATATGTGAAAAGCACCATTAGGTAAACAGATGATGAGTTCAGCCTCATATATGGCAGAGGCTTTTGGCCAAAATCAGTGAGTAGCTTGTGACACTGATTTGGATTTTCCCTTCCATTTATTGCTGCTATTGTTGTTCTGGTGCTGTTATTTCAGTTCATCAGCAAGGTTCCATTATAAAAATATGTCGCTTAAATAAAGAAAGCCAGCAGCAATTAAAGAAAGACATAGATATGAATCTTGTTATAGCTGAGACCAAAATAAAGAAAAGGGATGAAGGCCAAATAACAACAAAAGATCAGTTAGAAATTTTTACACATTGGGTTTCCTCAAGGGGTGTCAATAGCCGATTAGGACGGTAGGTATTGTTAGCACGCCTCGCCCAAAGCCAAAAGCGCAGAAATTGCACTGGTATGCCAAACTCTTGCAACCTCTTCCAGCAATTTAGATATCAACAAAGAAATATAACCATGTATAGAAAAGAACTTGTAGGCTTTTGGATCAGAATTATCGAGTATCTCGTTACAATATGTATAATATATACAGTGTACATGTATCAGCTATAAAGGTGAAAAATAAAAACAGGTCAAATCCCTTATTTACCCCCATATTTTTAGCTAATCACATTCTAATAAATTAGGGGTAATAAATAATAATTAATCTTTAATTTATCCTATTTCACACTTGGATCATAAATGTTAATAATATTCGACTTGCTCATACAATTCTCAAACAATAGTTCATGTAACCCCTTTCTCAACATACATGCTGCTTGAAGGTTTGTTGGTAGGAAGGTGAAACAAATGATCCCATCTTCTACCTTCTTATTAATAAAATGTCTGTCAATCTTTACATGTTTTGATATCTCATGTTGTATTGAATTTAAAGCCATACTTATGACAGTCTTGTTGTCACAATACAATTTCAGTGATAGCTCTAATCTAACATGAATTTCTTCTAGTACCCTTTGTAACTATATTTCTTCCATTATAACTTGAGCTAAAGCCCTTAACTCAGATTTAGCACTAGTTTTGAAGACAACCCTTTGCTTCTAACTCTTCCAAGTAACTAGATTTCCCTACACAAATGAACAATAACTAGAAGAAGATCTTCTATCTGAGTAATGTCCACCCCAATCAGCATCAATGTATACTTCTATGGTTCTCCATTCGTATTTTTAGAACAATAAGCCCTGCCCTTTAAGTACTTGAGGATCTTGTATGCCATGCCCATGTGTTTTCCTTTGGCTCACACATATATTGACTAATTAAACTCACTACGAAGGCTATGTCAGGTCGTGTGTGGGAGAGCTGGATAAGTTTTCCTACCAACCTCTGGTGTCTCTCTTTATCAATTGGTTTCTCTTTCTCCTCATCTTCTTTAACTAGTTCAGTTTTTTCATCAGAGTTTTCTTTTATTGTTTTAGATGCTTCCCTCTTATTTGGAACAATAATAGGTGTTTTAACAGGTTTACACCCCAACATTCCTGTCTCCTTTAAGAGATCAAGTGTGTATTTTCTTTAAGATACATATATACCCTTCTTCGATCTTGCAACTTTCATTCCCAAGAAGTATTTTAACTTTTTAAGGTCCTTGACCTTGAATTCTTAACTTAGTGCAATCTTAATTTTCATGATTTCCTCATTGTAATTACTAAAGGTAATTATCTTATCGACATATACAATAAGAATACATCTCATACCTCTCTCCAAGTTGACAAAATGGTGTGATCTAATAGTCCTTGTTTGTAGCCTTAAAACTTTAGGATTTGTGAGAACTTATCAAACCATGCTCTAGGTGACTATTTTAACCCATACAAGGATTTCTTTAGCCTACATCACCTTTTCCTTTATCAAAGCTTGGAGGCAAGGTCATATAAACTTCCTCTTTCAAATCTCCATTTGAGAAAGCATTCTTAATATCCAGCTAGTGTAATGGCCAGTCAAGATTTGCTGCTATAGATTACAGTACCCTAATGGTATTTAGCTTGGCCATAAATGCAAAGGTTTTTTGATAGTCGATACCATAAGTTTGTGTGAATCCCCTAGTCACCAATTGAGCCAACCTTTTTAAGAGGAACAGTAACCGATAAACACACATTTTATAGCCTTAGGTTTAAGTTTGGATGTGGATTTAAGATGAACAAAGGTTGAGCACCCAAATATTCATAATGGCAGATTAGTTTCAAGGTGTTGAAGTGAATGTGTCTCATAAAGGCAATCAAGAGGGGTTACATAGGACATTACTTTGCTTGGCATATAGTTGATAAGATAGGCGGCAGCTGGAATAACATCAACCCAAAAGAACTTTGGCATGTGAGTGGTAAATATAAGGGCACATGCAACTTCAAGTAAGTATTTATTTTTTCGCTCAGCAATACCATTTTGTTGAAGGCTATTTGCACAAGATGTTTTATGAACTATGCCTCTTGCTTTCAAAAACTCACTCATGTTTTTGTTTAGGTATTCGATGCCATTATTGGATTGAAGAATTTGTATTGAAGTATGAAATTGGTTAAAAATCATGGTGTAGAATTCAATGAATATAGAGGTTACTTTAGATTTCTCTTTAAGTAAATATACCCAACAAACATGATTATGATCATCTATGAAGGTAACGAACTATTTGGCTTAACTTAGCACTGCCAATTGTCATACCAGTTGATAGATCTTGAAATACACAATGTGATGGGAGAAATTTAGCAAACAATTCAAGTGCTTAGTCAATTGACTCACCAAAATCAAATTACAGTCAAGTTTGGGCACATAAAGAACTGATTCTAAAACTATAAAATCTAAGATATGTATACTCCCTTTTCCGACAGCTAAAGTTAAAGAACCATATGCAATTTTCACCTAAGCATTCCCAACACATGGGACATAAGTGGTGAAAAATGGATGACAACTGATCATATGATTAGAAGCTCCAGAGTCAACAATCCACATTTTTAAATCTTAGGATGTCTTTAATACTTGAAGAAAAGTCCCCCATTTTGCCACAAATGCAAGAGGTATAGATCTAGTCATAATTGGTTTGATGCTTAGGAATGCCTACAATATCAACTTCAATCAAGAAAAATCTCTCATAATAAAGAGACATTAGATGTCCTAATATCATACTTAGAAAGCTATAGCATAAGACAAGGTGAACAAAACATGGGAGTTTCAAAAGAAGACTTTTTAAATGTATTACATGCTGGAATCTGATTGGAAACCTCATGTTGTCACCGAAGGAAAAGCCCGCCATCCACCTAAGGGCTTCATGTGCTCCCACATGCCACCATAGGGATGAGAGTGTATAAGCTTTAGGGGGCACATGTGATCAACATGTGCCATCTCTAGCTTAGATTTTTCAGGTGATAGCTAATTGGAGCCTTCTAAATTCCCCTTAGGATGTTAGTGAGAGCCAACACACTCTCTATTATCACTATACAATCAGCTAAAGGTAATCAAGGAGAGCCCACATACGATCCATTACCTAAAAATAAAACTTAAATATGCTTAGGCTCTGATACCATGTGGAAATTTAGGAGAGAAAATGTGTATTATTATTTACTTGATTCATTCATATAGATTTTTAAGGAATTTATACAAAGAGGTTAATAATTTACAATAAATGCAATCAAATAAATGTAATAAAAATAATGGAAACTGATGCAGTCAAGCCCTAATTTTCCTATATTTGATGTAATTAATTCAAATTTTTCACAATTATCCTCCTCATTTATGCATCATTTGTAAATTATTGAATCTAGATATTTGTTTGCAAGTTGTGTGCTTATATGCTTTGTGTTCTTCTCTAGATAGAAGTTTGACTTATCAAAGGAGTGATCACCTTTTGTGACATCCTTTATAGTTAAAACTTTAAGAGGTATGGTTCTCTTAGGGTTCTAACTTATCCTTGTATTTTAGGATTCATATCTATACTTCCCAGATTGTCTATGGTAGATTATCTAATGGGTCCATACCACATCTTAAAAACTTGTATCTCATGTTAACTTATAAATTTCTCTCTTCACATGTTTCCTTTTATGCCCTATTACTAAATGGACTAAAAACCATCAATTTATATGTCAATCAAGAATCATGCCAGTTTAGATCAAGTGAATGACATCATAACACTAGAGGCTAATTTTGATTAATAGGAAATATTCCCTACATTCTTAGTGCTTTCATATTGAATTGATAGGAATCTCTAGTTCACTATCAAGATAAAATGAAAGAAAATATCCTTGCTCAAAAGAGATGAGGCCCTCATGCATGCCAAAACCACTAAAGCTTTTAGCCACCCTCACAGAATATGTTGCATTCTTATGAACCTTTAGCTTAACTAACAACTCGAATTCTTTCTCACAAGTCTTGAAATGTCCCTCCACCTACCCCCACCCTTACAAAAAAGCTATTTTCATGCAGGATATGATGCTACAGTGTAGCCTTCCCTGATTGGAGGTGTAATAAAGACTAATGGCATGTCAATTCTAGGTTTACATTACTACCTTTAGAGACTTGGTTGAAGTAAAAGACATAAACATAGTTTATATAATATATTGCAAGTTATTTCTTCTTTTTCTTTTCTAAATCTTACAATTTAAAATTTGTGTTGCAAGTTGATAGATATGCAGAATACTAACATTTTTCTTAATTCAATTTTCTTTAAGGAAAAATAGTCTAGGAAAAATATATAACTATGTGAGACCAAACTAAGCTAACTATGTTAGAGAAAAGACCAAACAAGCTAAAACACACTGTACTAAGTTAGACAATTCTTGCAAAAGAGTAAAAGGATTGTTTATTATTATACCTTGAAAGGGTTAAAAAGCATCAACTTCTGGACGTGAAAACACTTTACTTTATCAAAATATATATCTCTTCCAATCTGATATGTAAGATCTTCATCTCATACTCCCTAAAAAGAATTATACACAATTGGTAACACAAATACAATTGATTTAGAAACTCCAAGAATTCTTGTAAAGTAAAAGAAATAGTTGGTGATAAGGAAACCAAGATAAGAAGACTAATAACCTTCATAATAATGTAAAGATGATCCTCTTCTTTCTTCAATCTCTCCTACAATAAACCCCTGCATAAAATAAGCTCAAATTTTTCAAAGTATTACAGCAAAAATAGTCAAAACTCAAAAGCATAGGAGAGCTAAAAACTAGGATTAATTTTAAGTCCAACAGTCTACAAGGCACTTGTTATAAAATGAGACTTTAAAGTCTATTGTTTTATTGATAGCCCAGGCAAAGAGGAGGCAGAAAGATAATTCAAAGACATTGACAACAATCAGCAAACTGATTGTATAAGTTATCAATAACTTTAACTAATTTTCTTGATTATAGGAATATTATGGGAATAATTAAATAGATATATATAGATATTAGAGGGTTTCATTCCGTAATTAAAGAAATTTGATAGGATAGGGCCATTATAGTTAATATTTATTTTTTTATTTCCTTTTATAGAAGATTCTTAAACGTGTATATATGCTATCTTTTCCCTGAATA